TGGTCAATAAAAGACAGACAAATGAACCAACATTCAAACATGCAAAAGGATATTCCGTTCCTTGTCCGTAGATTCTCCTCCAAAAGGAAAAGCTCTTGAATAATACTGATGAGACCATATAAATTACACAATTGTCAGGAAATAAACATTGTATAAATTTATAATGTGTTTTGGATACACCTTTCATTTGTATGTGAATGTTTAAACACTGGCCAGCATGGAGCAGCAAAGTGACTGTGTCAAAGTAATGGCCAGAAGAGGAGTATCTTGTGTCTATGATTGGGGGGAGTCAACAGAGGTGGATAATAGGGTCTTTTGTCCCAGGCCCCAGGGTCTTAGGGGCCCCGAATGGGAACCTCTGCCTTTTTATTAACATTAGAGGGGGGCCTGTGTGAGTCTGGCCCATGTGATCCTCCAAATTTCTGTTCACGGTTCTGTCTATGCTTGTCCATGGTCTACTCTAAACTACATAGTGCTTATTAAAACATACTATTAGCAACTGCACAAAGACATTTTAATTTGCTCTCCTGTGAATCTGACTACAGCACAACGGAAGAGCAGACTTCTGTATGTTAACAATACATTAAGATGAATCCTTTCTCTTGAGTGGAAGTATCTCCTCTTCATTTGGCCTTTTACTCGCTCGATACTGAGGAGCACTTGATTAAATCCCATTAGTAGTTATTTAGATCAGGAAGCTTGATTAAAATGCAGAAATCTGATTTATCTTGTGTTGCTCTCAAATCTAAGACTCATTAGCCTTAAGACTAAACAGCTTACAGAACAGTGGAAGAAAGCTTTTGATGTAGATGAGGATGCCAAATTACTGTTTCTTATTATTCTTGATGTTGAGAGGATAAAAATAATACATGCCATGAACCAGTGTTTTGAATAAAGCAGAGGTGGGGGTGGGTTTAAAGTTCTTTATACTCAATATTTTTCATTGTAATAAGACAATAAGAACATGCTTGTGCAACTCATTTGAATTCCTAGATTCTCACCTTCCTACACAGCTCTATTCACAGTTATATTAAAAAACCCTGAGAATTTACATGAAGTTTACCTTAAAGGTGCATTGTGTAACTTTTCTGGTGGAGGGTCTGTTACCTGCTTGTTTCTATGTAGATGTCATTGCTCTGGCTGGAATGTTTTACAGTATGAGATTACACAGCTCCTCCTTACATTTATTAAAGGGACAGCCCGGAATTTTGGACATAGGACCTCATTTCCTAGTGAGCCAGAGTGTTGGAGACGTGTGTAGACACTTTTTCAAATATTCCATCCAGTCCTTGTATTTGCAGAGGTCGCTGGTGCTAGGCTAGCGCATGTCAATGGCCATAGTTAGCCTGCCACTAAAAACAGTCTTACCCACTCCACAAAAGCACCCGAAGCAAAACTATTATTACGCCAGACTGTCGATGTGAATGTCTGTGTTGATAGAATAATTTTAGAAGTAAAACCAACCTTGCATTTGAGCAGCAGCGAATTGTACTTCCTGATAGAAAGCTTGGCAGCGGCGGACTGCTATCACCTAACACCTATCTTACCAGCAAGTAAAATTCCACTGTTGCTGAGAAAATAGTCCCTCAACATGCGAAGAGAAATGAGATGCAATTTTAGTTTTAATTCAAACATTATTTTATCAACACGGACATTTACATCAATAGTCATAATAATAGATTTGCTTCAGGAGTTTTGTGGAGTGGGTAAAACTGTTTTTAGTAGCAGGATAACTATGGCCATTGACATGCACTAGCCTAGCACCAGTGACCTCTGCAAATACAAGGACTGGATGGAATATTTTAAAAAGTGTCTTCACACGTCTCCAACACTCTGGCTCACTAGGAAATGAGGTCCTATGTCCAGAATTCCAGACTGTCCCTTTAATTTACAGTGGTTTTATTGCCTAAAAAAATGGCCTGGTTTAGTCTCCATGAATAGAAAGGTGTAATACCATACTGTGAAAAATCCAGACAAAGCAATAACGTGTCCATGGAGAAAAAGTATTTCATGGATGCTCTTTTGAAACCAGTGCATAATGTCCAGTGTCAGCCTGTCCCTGTGCAAGACACTTCATCCACCTTACCCACGCATGAATGTAGTGTTTGAGTGGATGGTGGTGGTCGTGGGGGTTCAAGGCGCAGATTGGCATAGTTCACTCTGAGTATCTTAGTCACGTCTGAGTATGAAATTTGAATGAACAGTAACGACAATGAGGACCATTGAGAAGTAAGGCTCACAATACAAGTGTAAGGCAGGACTATGGTTATTACAGATGGTGTATAAAGAGTCCTTAACCTTTTCTTTAAGAACAGGAGAATTGTTGGGCAGTGACTGTACCATAAAATGAAGTGCATATAAGTTCATTGCTTAGATGATTTACTGTATTGTATTTTTTATAATATTCATTTGTGAATATATCATGGTGTAAAAAACATAGTTACGTCCAATTACAGACAGTAGACTGGCACTCAAATCTACTTAATTATATTATGCATATATTACCATCAAACAACTTAATTTATATTCTTTTATGCTGTTCTGCTGAGTGCCTTGGTTTGTGAGGACACCTTCGTACTTGTCAGAAAGTAAACTTTTGGTTAAGAGACACCTTTTTTCCCAGCACCAAATGAGATTGCACTGCATGGATCTGCTGTAGCTCCAGATGTAGTGTTTTTTTTTTTTTTTCCTTTTTTTTTTTTCTAAAGGCTACCTCTGATATCTTTTTAATTAATATCTGCCTCCAGGCAAAGTAGATGGATACAAACAGAAAAAGCTGCGCTGAATATAAATGGTCTGCAGAATCAGTATGGGGCAGAAAATTCCCTCTGTGGTCAAAATTAATTTGACAGGGCCCTTCTCAAATAAATAACCCAAAGAGTAATTCCGCCTGAATATTTTGAATGGCTTTTTGAGTTTTTTTAAGAGCAACGCTATTTTCATTTAATTAATTCTCAGACGCCACAAGTATTTTCAAGATGACAAATGCTATTGACGTGGCTCTCCATCAAAATGCTTTCAATAAATAAGTCTTACCGTGTTCCTTTCTCTTCCAATTAGAATCCAGCCTTCTCTGATGGGTACATTTGAGGAGCTGCAGTTTGGCAAATTACCAAAGTCAATTTAAAGGCAGCGCTATGCAGATGGCTTCATGAAATCCAAATAGACCTCACTACCACAGTGCCATGTCATAGAAATACCTATTGATATACTCCCAATGGCCAATCATCAGGCTTTTATGGCATGGCATTTTGTATTGGAAAACACTAAGTAGGTCATAAAAGGTAATTCAAAAGCATTGTGTAAGGAGGGAGAGCAATCTACTATCTAATAACTGTGCAATTCAAATTATGTGCATCATAGTGACCAATGAAATCTAATCAGGCGTACCATTAAGAACACTAACACAGAGTGAACAGCTCCTGAACTGGGAATTATGACGCAGAAAGTAAATATTTTGTCCTTAAAGTTGCACTATGAAACCTTTCCTATGGAGGGTCCGACACCTGATTGTGTGGATGGGGATGTTATTGCTTTGCCTGGGATAAATCAGTTTACAGTTTAGAGTCCTAAACTTTTAGGTTAGTTGTTGTTCAGAAGTTCTGCAAAAGAGGAGTGGTCCCGCAACCCAAAGGTGGTAAGACCAATTCCTGCTCAGTTGTTGTTCTTAGGTAAGACATTGCCTAATGTTAAAGTGGTGTGTGTGTGTGAATGATTAGTGGTGCTCACAGGAGCTGATGGCGAAGAGTAGCAGACTTGCTTCCGCCTGTTTGTCCCAGGTTACCATCACTAAGTATGAATGAATAATGAGTACAGTGTAGCACTTTGGGAGGCTTTGACAAGCCTGTGAAGCGCATTACAAGTGTAAAGCATTAGTATTTTTAGTACAACTTAGACCTGGTTCAGCCCTTATTTAGACCTGGTATAGTTCTGCAATAGACTTCGATATTTTATTTGATGTTACTTGGTGTGAAAAGTTTGAGATAGTTTGGTATAGTATTCTGTTCTGTGGACCTTTCCAAAGCAATAACACCTCCATGGAGACATGCAGATTCAAGACCCTTCACCAGAAAAGTTACACAGAGCACCACTAAAACTTATTAGAAGATTGAATTTGAGATGACTCATGAGAGCTTCTAGGGTGTAAATAAGCAGCCAATGCAACTAACAAGCATAATGTCTAAAGCTATGTTCTTTTAATTTAAGTGTAATATGATTATAATTATTCTTGATTGGCTTTCAGATGTATTTATCCATGTTTTAGATGACTTTTTATTCTGTTTTGGTCTATAAAAATAAACTCTCCTTGCGTTGTCAGTCTTAGTAGTAGTACGCAGGATGATCACACTCGGCATCTGGCCATGTTTTGTGATGATTATTTCTATAAGCAGAAGCGGCATTTGACCTCTTAATGCAGATCTGGCTGTCTTAACTCAGACACATTACTTTTACAGAAATGCACATGCCCTTGAGCCAAAAGAGAAAAAGAAACCATTAATGTTTTATGCGCACAGAATTTAAACCCAAAGTTAATTTTATATTTTACTGAAATGTCTGCAAAGTTATCCGAAGTCCGCAAAGTACTTAACACTATTCATCCGTTTTGGCTTGCTGATATATGCAACACTGTGTTTTAAATTGTTAATCGCCATAGTCCTATTTTCTCATCATTATGAAACCCGTAGATGGGAGTGGGAGAAAAAGGTCTATTTCGATCTTTCACAGTATCTTTACACCTAGCCCATAAACAGTACAGTCTTTATTTGACAACACAAAATTGGCCCGTAGAACATATTGCAAAGTTATCTCGAGGGAACAGAGGAACGAGAGCCATGACTAGCCATTCCTTATCCAACTCACACAAGAAGCAGTGCAAACAGGTATTAGTAATTGCTTTTTATTTGATCTTTTCTCATTTTTTCAGATAGATCACAATGAACACAGCCTTTAGACAATAGCAGTTGAAATAATCCATACAAATGAGTGTCTCTGGTGGCGTGACCAGTTGCCCGTTGCAGCGTGGAGCCCGTAGATCTCGGTGGGGCCTTGGGAGGGTGAGGGAGAGACGTCATTGACAGACATTGGGTGCTATATTTCCAAAACCAAAACAGCATGGCGTTTCCGTGTGAGATAAAAAGAAAGAAAGAAAAAAAAAGAGAAAGCTAATAGTGTCTGTCTAAATATGCATCACTGCTTCACTGTGAGTCAGAAGGCAGGCAGCCACACTGTACACGGCCCTTATCGCGTGGAAATAAGTTGTGCTCATGTGAAGTCTGTCAGTAAACCTACAGTGTGAGACTCAGATTACTTCAGAACATGTGATTTTTCTGTTTCTGATATTTTCTGATTCTACAATTTTACATACATGTTACGCCAGTGTTTAAACGCCAGATTTCACTGCTAACTAAATACGTTTATTAATATTGTTCAAGGTCAACTGATTTATGTAATGTGGCTTTATTACCAGGAATAAATGTCTCACTAATTGACTAATTGAGGGTTGTCAGTTTCTACTATGAAGCCTATAATGCTGTTGTGCCCTTGAGCAAGACCAAGTGTTTAGTTGAGGCAGTAAGTGTGTCCAAATCGGAAAAAAATATGTAAATACGAGAAGAAATAGCAAACATATCTGTTATCTTTTACAGTTACTTCATGCGAAAGGTGCACTATGGAACTTTTCATTTGAATGGCTTGCCACCGGCTTTTATCCAAGAAAATAATATTGATTTACCTGGATTGTTCCACAGTATGGCATTAAACCTCCATCGATACAAGCAGGTAACCACAAAGTCAGGTTACAAGTCAGAGATATGAAAAGACAGCTCGCTCATTTTATTTTCAAGGCAATAAAGACTAGCTTGATTCATCAGCCAGTTTCACTTGGTGGAAACCGTCTGACCTCGCAGTGTTAGAATTCGTTTGCTTGACGGTAGGCGGGTAGCTTTTTCATTTAACCAATCGCTGCTATTTGATCGTGACGTACGTAAGCTTTTCCCAAATCCCGTTGGAAGAAGGACAATAACGTCTTTCCCCTTGATAGAATTCACCAAACATTCTCTTTATTTCGGCTTTAAATCTTCAATCTCGGGAATCGTTGCCAACACAGAATGTATGGATCTTCGCTGATTGGCTGGTGCCTGAACTTCCGGGGTTTTTTGTGAACCGTCTAGTGTATTCCGATTCCTGACCTAGTCACTCCAGAGAAATGAAATTGAGCGGAAGGACTAGGTGGCACTAGCTTGGCTAAATAAAAACACCTCTAACTGAAGAAATGCATTGATAAGTTTAATGTCATGGATGTGTGGAACATTCCAGGCAAAGAAATAAAATCCCTATGAAAACAAGCAGGCGGTGAACCGTCCACCAAAAAAACAATGTTACATAAGGCACCTTTATGAACCACTGCTCAATATCACAGGTTAACATTAGCTTACACCAACTATCTTATGCTATTTTCTGATCTACTGTATGTTCTAATGTTGTTTCCTCATCAAAAACATACCTGGACATGTGTTTTATTTCATTCACACATGCTGAGTTATTCTCTCAAACAGAATACACTCTGTTCCACCTTGTGATGTCATGAGGTATTACAGAAAGTACTCCACTCCATACACTTTCACTGGAATCATTCAGATAATTTCAGGTCTGGAATTTAACATTTCTACCGAACAAACAATAAAATGTTGTTGTTAACTTGAAAACTACCCCTTCAAGACATCAGAAGGTGGAACCGAGTGCACTTTGGAGACGTAGAAAGACTAATAATAATGGATTATGAACATGTTTGAACATTGTAACATGGCTTAAACCTCACAAGTGTCCATTTTGCGTAATGTAGGACCTTTAAATGATTTCACATGAACACAGCCTATATGTACAGTCTGGAGTGGGCACAAAGCTCCACTCTGGTGTTGAGTAATGCACTGCCTGTGTGGTGTAATTAGACAATAATGAGAGGCTCAAACTCCTACTATGTACTGACCTTAGCGGCAGCCTGTGCTCGATTACACAGCAAATAGCCTGAGAGAGGGGCCATGGCTTTGTACAGAGAAGACCTTCCATTGGAACCAGGCCATTTCCTGCCCAAACTTTCAGAGGCAGAGCAGTGTCCTGGGCCAAGGGGGGCTCCATTAGAGGGGACAGGACAGGTATAAAGTGCGGAGATAGATTCACTGGAAAACCAAAGTGTAAATAGATTCCCAAATGAGGAAATAGTAGGAAAAAAAGTTCAAATATATTCCCAAGTAAAGAAATAGCAGTACTTTTTTTTTTTTTTTTTTTACTGCTCAGGGAATTCAAGAGAGTTTTGTAAAAGTACTGAAAAGCTTAAAGAGTTTGATCAGGGTGAAATTGTGATCACATGACCAGCTATAATGGCATGACAACTAGGGTATTATCAATTAACAGTCTAACAAGAGGGGATAATAATAATAATAATAATAATAATGATAAAAAATAAAGCAGAATGGGGCAATGTGTGGACAATGTGAGTATATTTTAAAGAGACACTTTTCAAATGTTGTTTAATGGACTTAATTACAAGAAAAAACATCTCTACTTGGTTGAAACTAGTACTTAAAGGTGCACTGCGCAGCTTTTCTCCTACTAATTGTTCATCTCCATGGAGCTGTTATTGCGTTACTTCACAGATTGGAGCTGCTTTTATCGATGGAGACTGATACGTTTAATGCCAAACTGCAGAATAAGACAAGAGTGATCTCCATGGAAACAGCCAGGTGGCAAAAAAGTTACGCAGTGCACCTTTAAAACCAACTTAAACCAATATCTAACAGTTTACGTTATGGGCTGTGTACTTGGAACACAGACTGACACTGGTTTTAAAAAGTAGAGGTTTCCAATTTTCTCATATCTGAAAAAAAAAAAAAAAAGTTTATGAAAAGAAGGTTGCATGCAAATTTGAGTTGAGTGCGCTTACATGATGAAATAAAGCAAACTAAAGGTAAAAGACAAAGTGGGGAAGTGTCATACATGTGTGGGAACCGGCTCGCCCCAACTTACTTTAAGCCGTTCCCTTTAAGGAGCAGTGCATTTGTATGGCAGGCAGTGAGATGCTTAAGTCTGTCTGTGTAGAGCCGTGTGTGCGTTTTGTTGGGATCACAGTTCCAGTGCTAACTTTGAACAGCACATTTTAGCGCTATGCTCCATTTACGTGATGCGACTCTCCAAATGATTTATCTATAGATTTTCAGAGAGGTAGCAGCAACGGAAATAGCTTAAAGATTCTGCGCTCTGAAATCCTGTCAGCTTGCTTGAAATAAATAATAAAAATATACATGAAATTGCAAAACCAACTGCCTCAAAGTGTTCCTCTGCTCTGGGGAAGCGATAAAGCAAAAAGGAAAATTACAAGATGGGATGTATAAATTATATAAATACAAATAAATAGAATTGGGTTTTACAGAGCATCCAAGGTCACTGTTCCCTCTAATGGATATAGTACATTATAGATTGTGGTCACATTTTCAAACACGTCTAGACTAGTACTACTACTTCTGCTTAACTGACCTTATAGTATTAGAAAAAGCAGGTAGTGGCTGAAACGAGCCAACATTTTAAAAATAAATGTATATAATTTACTTTAGAAAGCCTGACTGTGAAGACACTTCTATAATAAACCATGTTCCTAAACAGCTAAACATCAAATCCAAAAGAAATAAGTCCAGGTTCATTTTTCACTGCAAAGAATGCGATTTCGAAAGGAGTACATACAGAAAGGACACAGACTGCTGGAGACAGATCCTCTTTTGGTCCGTATTAGAAAAAGCACATTCGCGTGGACCAGGGCTTCAGAAGCAGTCACTCCACACAAACTACAACAAGCTCTCCGCAGAGACAGTAAGGCAGTTAGATGATCACCAAGGAAACCACTCCACTTTCCATATGGCAGGTTTCTTTTTTGGAAAGAAGGTTGAAAATAAAAACGTAATGAACACAAATGACGCATACTAGTTATTGTTAAAGAAAATAGCTGCCCTGTAAAAATCTGCTCAGTACAAATTTTCAAACGGTTGTCTTGTGGTTGTTGCTTTTTCTCTTGGATTTGAATAGTAGTTCAGATCGGCTGGCTCACTTTGCTTTAACAGTTGTACTGGATCCAGCCGGACCTCTGGGTAAAAAGAGGCGACATCTCAAAAGCACTGCAGAGTAGAAGGAAACACCAATGAAAACCCAAACTAAAGCAAACTCACAGAGTTCGACAGCTACTAAGGCAACTTTTGCCAAATACAATATAAGCCCATGTATATTGCAACACAACTATATATTAATTTAATAAAATACACAATATAGCTTTTGTACACATAACAATTTGGCTCAAATGCACAGAAATTGCAGTAAAATCAATAAAAATATGTCAATTTTATGTAAACACATCTAAATTGGATACATTTACACAGATAATGATATTATGTATAGTGATAATGTGAAGGGACATTTTCTTGTTTATGCATGTTTTTGGATATTTGTACTTGAAACAATGGCAGTGCCCTTTGCAGTTCAACAAGTTAGTACGCCGCTCTCAAAATTTTCTTGAGGACACTTTTTTGCTGAGATTCCTCACTTCTTTTTCTTAGAAAACGTATAAATATTGTGTTAATATTTGGACACTATACATGGATTCATACATATAAGTCATCTATATCATTGTATAGATAGCATCTTTTCACAGTTGAGGAATATGTCCCTTTTATACAGCATGTGAATGAGCTCACTGTACACAGTGGAAGCTGGACGCAGACGTACACAGATGAGTTAGTGCGCTCAGTCCGTGTGCAGTGTCACTACATGAATGTTTAAATAGAGGCGAGGGACAGACAGCTTACACATGTGGCTACGAATGATGCTGAGATATGAACTCTTACAAGTCTCCCTCTGTCTCCTAGGTCCAGTACCACCAGTTAGACCAGTCTGATTACCCTCTGCCCACAGAGCCAACACAACATCCACAAGTCTGAACAAAAGCTTTGTACCCTTGTCCTTCACTGTCCAAACATTTGTATTTTCTCTGTTTTCACATCGATTGTCATGTCTGACCATAAAAGTCCTTTTCTCGGTCTATGGCCATTACACATAACAGAACTCCACCTACACACACTTCTGTAGGATTTCACGAGAGACCATGGACAACACACTTATGAGCTGGTGGGCACTTAGATAATAGAGGTGCCAGAGGCATAGGCCTCTGCCATTAGTTAAAGAACAAAAAGGTCTATAAATTCAGCAGGAAATCACACGTTTGTTACACAGTCCCATATCCTTGGTAAGATAGGAGCACCGAAAGTGGTGCTTAATGACTGACTTTATAAATGTTCCATTGTTCCTTCAGTGTCAGTGGTTTTAACAACAAATACAGTAAAAAGAGCTCCTGTAATGGGAGCATGTGTGTGATTTGTTTTGGTGACAGTTTTGGCTTCACAGTTTGTGGAATAGGACTATTCCATCTGTCTCAGTGTTATTTAGTCCAGAGGTCACTTCCTGAGCGTGCCTGTGGATTCACTCCCTCTGCAGTCCTGTAAGAGTTTGTCGATGTCCCGGACCACCTGATCAGCGTCCATCCCCTCACGACCATCGGGCTCGCCCTGTTCCAGCACTGTCTCCATCTCCCCAGATGCTTCCTGACTGATCCTGGAGCGTGCCTCTGCCAGCACCTTGGCCACGGGGTCAGCGGGCAGGGGCGGGTACACCCCCTCTCTCTGTTTGGTGGGCGATAAGAACTGTCCGTCTGGAGGTCCGTAGTGGCCTGAGCAGGTGACGGGCGGAGGCTTGCCCTCAGCGCCATCTGCAGGACTCTTCACAGTAGCGCAGGAGGCCAGGGTGGAGCAGCCTTTGGTAGGACTACTGGAGGCAGAGGGCACCTCCTGGAGCAGGGGGCTCAGAGCGCGTTTGGCCTTCAAATACGGCTTTACATTGGCCACAAGGATGGTGTGGTCCCTCCTTTCTTTACCAAAAGTGCAGAAAGTCTTTTTGCCGTTGGGGTTGACAGACTCGTAGTTCTCTGCTTCGGGCACAGTCTCCATCCCTGCGGGCACAAACATGTTGTTCCTGTAGTCCACGCCCTCCGCCTGGTTTCCTCCTCCAGGGAACTTGGGCATCCAGCAGCGGTCTGAATGTCCCAGGACACGACACTCATCTGTGCAGTTCACACAGTCTTCATCTGAAACAACAAAGAAGAATCCATTAGCACAGAGTACACACTACAAGCAAGCCACGCTGAGAGGGGAAATACTATCATAGGCTCATTACAAAATAAACTTTACAAAGAGTTTTGATCCGCCAAGGGGCTGCAGGAGCCAGAGCTAATCATACATGTGGCAACACAGCTAAATGAGGATATCCTGTAGTGAACACACACTAATGTATGCACGTGCACACAGACACCTTTCTGAGGGACCGGGGACACCTGCTAACTCTCTCCAAAGCTCTGATCAGGAGGATGGCAGCGCATACAGAAGGACGGGAGGGAGAGAGAAAAACAACAACAGTTGAGGTTTGGCAAAGGCGCAGTGGCGTTATCATAAATTCATGTCAGTGGCTTTGAAGCCCTCCCCAGACGTGTGCACGCTGCCAAATGGCTTGTGCTTCTTGTGTGTTTGAGCCTGTTTATTTGTGCTCTCGCTGTTGTGCTGCTGCTGCTGGCGAGCACACGTGTGGGTTTGTGTGCTCACGTCTTTCATCTATTCAGAGGAAAGCACTGGCTGATTATGGGAGTGTTGAACTGATCCAGGACTTGGTAAAAAACATTAGAAAAAGAAGAGCACATTTTCTCTCTCTTGGGTGTGAAGTGAAAAAATAAAGCAAAAAAATAAGCATCTGCTGTCCCACAAATAGAATACTTTTATTGGCTGAGAGAAACCCAGTAAGCACAAGGAATCACCACTACTACAAGACTGGTGCAACTCATCTTCAATGTCACTGAACTCATTTATGTAAAAGCCATTCCTCCCCACTTCCCTCAAAACACATTTAAACCATGTAATACAACTTTATTCCGACTCTTATTTGCCCATGCAGTTACCTCAGGACACCACCACCAATCATCCTATTTGCTAAAGTGAGATTACTCGACAAGGCACAGGTTAAACAAATTTGAGAAAAGCAATACCACATCAACACTTCATCTCCCTGCAGTACATTTCCAAATCGCTGCTTTAGCCGGAGCTTCTGAACAAATGGCAGCACCGCCACAGACTGCTTTGCATATTGGTTTTAAGATACATGATGCATCTTCTCTACTTGTGCTGCCAGACTTCACATCTGAATTTTAGAGCTACACTTGCTTGATTTTATAAAGTGTTTTGATCAACAAGACCGATAGTTAGAATTTGAGGGGAAATTTCTGTAATGTTAAAGGTCCTATATTTAACTTTTTGTGAGCTTTTAGTCGTGTTAGAATGTTGTTACCTCCTCAAAAACGTACCTGGAGTTGTTTTCTGTTTAAATAATCCTGCATTATATAGATAGATAGGTTTAATGCCATACTGTGAAACATTTCAGACAAAGCAATCCAATCTAGATGGACAATAGGAGATCCCCCTGACAAATGGTTACATAATGCAGCTTTAAAATACACAAAGCATGAGCAATATTAGGTCAAACAAACTCTATCGTGAATAAAAATCTGTCAGTCAGCAATTCCAAGTAAATGAATGGCAAGGTCTGTAGAAATCAAAGAAGCTTACATATGTGTGTTTTAATCACATCCTGTGCAAGTGAGAAGGGCAATTAGATGCAACGCACAACGCAGAACAATCAATACAAGTCTTCACCTTCTTGCGTTCACTGCACATCGAAAGAATAAATGATGACGACGCTCAAAGGCACAGGCAGAACTGTTAGATGATCGGTTGAGGGTTAGGTCACATCACAGAGGAGCTGTGTGTGTATACAGGGGAAATCCAAGAATACAATTTGCAAAGATTTCTAAGATGGATAAGGTGGATTTCTGAAGCTATTTTATCCTCTGTAGATGATAGGGTAGGTGTTAATTATTCTTACCCAATGCTATAAAGGAATAGAAAGGTGAGCGACAAATTAAAGGTGCAACTTTTACCACCATTGGCTTGACTCCATGGAGGTTTTATTACTTTGCGTTGAATGTTCCACAGTATGACAATAAACCTATCTTGAGTCTACCTTGCATTTGTTCAGGTTAGGGATGGGCATGATTAGTCGAATAATCGATAATTGATCATTAAGAATTTCATCGATTTCGTTCATTTTAATCGACAAACCGAATGTAGGTTGCTGTGCGTAGCGTGACCAAACAGGTCCGTACATGTCGGTCAGGCTGCAACGTACTGAAGTGCAAATGCGAACAATGTGCAACGATGACTTGTACAAAAAATTCCACGCTTTCCGATCAGGACAAGTGTGAGTCCATGTGCACAGTGTACAAAGCAGCACATATGTTTCGGTGTCCAGTGGGAAAAGTTTTGCCAGGTGAGAGTCGCCCAATGTCGATGACGAGGACCCACCTCCCACCCCCCTCACGGTGTCCTGGTTTTGACAAATGCAAATATGGTCACACTAACCTGTATTCCACTGAGTCGTGTCTTTTAATCCAACAGAAGTTGACCGCATCAGTGCACAAGAGCTGAATTTTTATCTTCGCTTAGTTTATGCAAATTAGTGATGCGGTTTTAAGTTTGGTTTCTGTGAGAGTTGCGCAAAACTGAATTAAACAGATTATAATCTAAAACGGCTGATGTGGCTCTAGAGTGATTACAGTTTATATGTCGTAAAGTTGAATTTATTTATGCAGATTAGTAGTGCAGACAGTAATAATAATGATGATAATTTTTATATAAAAACGTTAATGATTAATTGATAATCGATCATTAATTCTTCCGACGATCGATTAAGAAAATTTCATTGAATGCCCATCCCTAGTTCAGGTATAATGTGTTTTATTCACCAGAAACTCTTTGAAAAACATTCTTACTTATGGCATATACTGTACTTCCTACGCAAATTCTCAATGTGTGCAACGGTTTACATGAACAAAATTCTCTTCCAACATTCGAAATATTCTCCCTTGATGTAAATATTTCAAAAACCAACACGCAGCATGAACCCACATCTGCACGCCAAGTGTAATTGTCAAATAAATGCGCCCAGACAGACACCAGCATGGCTTCTGCTCCTCCTGGTCTGTGAGGAGAGCTTGTAACGCGAGCCCATCATTTCCATTAGCCTTGCTGTGGAGAGCTGCTGCAGCCTTTAAAGACCACAAACTCCAGGGCCTAATACAATCTCGCGCTGATGCCAATGAGCGGCGGAGTATATCCGCTCGGGTGCTCTTGGTCAGGCTGTCTTCTTTGCACTGTGTTGTGGGTCAGCGGGCCTTGCATTCCTGAGAGACTGCCCTCTTAAACTGCCCAGATGAGCTTAGCACTTCACAAATGTTTGAAGAAGCCAAGCGGCGGAGGTGGCATTTTTCCCATGTTGAGGCGACCAACTGAAGATGAAATAAGGTGAGTGAGCGAGCGAGTGCGCTTTTGGAGATGGGCTGTATTTAATAAGCTGGAGGGAATGCATCGGAGGAAGAAAAAAGTTATTTATAAACCGTGTTGGTTTGAGAGATTGGGGGAAAGGATACAGATGACATGTCAACGAGGCCCGGGTCAGCGAATCCAAGATCGAAATTCGTGCATAAATAGCTCTTGAAACTGAACATGTGATCACTAAAGTCCATCTAAGCAGAGACATGTTGACCGATCTTGGAGAGAAAAGTGGAGTAACAAAGACAAAAACTGCACTGGGCACATATAATCAGCATGGGCAGTATTAGCAGTAACATGGTCAAATTTGAATGGACTGAAAAGGGATTTACCAGTCTTACAACAATAGTCAAAATATTGTAGCATGCATTCATTCACTTGCATATTAAAGAGCCTATATTACACAAAACTGACTCTTGTGAGCTTTAAGTCATGTTATAATATTACCTCCTTGATAACATACCTGCAGTTGTGTTTTGTTTCATTCACATATTTTGATTAATCCTTTATTATTAGTCTCTCTACATCTACAAAGCTGAAAATGCTCTGTTCCACCTTGTGATGTCATGGTAGTTTTCAAGTTAAAAGCTACATTTACCATTTGTTTAGTAGACATTCTAGAACTGAAATAGGCCTGTAACGATAATCAATAAATCACGATAACTTTTAACATGCTCGATAACTTTTCTGCCCACGATAATTTGTATTTGCTTGCTTGTTTGTTTTCCTCGTCTCTCTCTATCTCGTTACCAAAGAAAATGAATGTCAAAAGGCTTCTACCGCTCTCTGTACTACCATGGATCTATTAAAATAACTGACTCCTCTTGTTTCCTTAGTGTAATGACGATTGAATGAACGTGTCAGCATAGACTGTATAGACCGTAGCCCGTGTATGGTATAGACGGATTATTTGTTTATCAACACAGTGGATGTGCGCGCAGCCTGAGTACAGAAAGCGCTATTGTCTGTGCGGTTCACATAAAGCTGCAACACTAGCACCACCGACAGAGCACCAAAACACATCATCGCCGTGTAACTAAACAACTAACGAAGCCAAATCAAAACTAAACATGCGTCAAATGTAGGCAAACGCGCAAACGAGAAGAAGAAATGTCTCAAACCCCAGCACCTGACATACACTGAATATGTAAGGCAATGACTAAAATAACTTTTAAAGGCAAATTTGTTACATAAACCTAATAATCCATTTTATTTATTGTTTTGGTTGTGTTTGGTTCAACAATGGTTTATTCAAGTGCATTTTTTGTAAAGAAGTCTAAGGCTATTCTTATGTTAACAAGTCTATTTTATTTAGGCCTGTTGTTTTTGGTTGTCTTGCAGTTTCTGTGTTAAATGTTCTTTAGAAAGTAATGTTTATTGATCTCTGAAAGGGTGTATTTGCAGGTTTATTCTATTGTCATTACATTAGTTCAAATTAGTCTCAAAATATCAATATGATTTCTTGGTCAATTAATTGTCCAGCAAAATTTGTTATCGTTACAGGCCTAGGCTTAAATCATCCAAATGACTCTACCGTCGTATGGAGTTTACAAACACAATGGAGCACTTCCTGTAATACCACATGACATCGCAAGGTGGAACAGTGTTTCTTGCTTGAGAGAAGAACTCTCTAAAGCCTAAACATGCAGGGTTT